TGAGACAACAGATAGTTAATCCCTCCCAGCTCTGGAGACTGGAAATTCAAGGTCAAGGTACCAGCTGGGCAGATTGCTTTTGAGGGTCAGGAGGGAGGTATCTGCTGCAGGCCTTTCTCCCGGGCTTGCAGATGGTCACTTTCATCCTGTGTGTTCACATGGCTCTTCCTCTGTACCTCATCCCCATCTTGGGCAAGAACACCAGTCACCGATTAGAACCTACTCCAATGACCTATTTTTACCCAAGTACCTCTAAATAATTCGTATTCATCTCATGTACTTTGGAGTAGGACTTCAGGGTATGCATCCTGAAGGCTTGGCATGTGAGTCAGTCCTTAATAGGAGACCAAAGCAATGAGTTTCCAGGGCTCCTGGAGGCCTAGGGAACAGACAGATGGTATCTGGATCGAGGACCAAGTCTGTGCCTGTTCTGTCTCCCAGTTTCAAAGGGGCCAATGCTGAGCAGCACCTTGCCTGTAGTCCGTGTTCTAGATTGCGGACTCCTGCAGGTTCCACTTGATCTCAGTCCCTGGAGCCAGGGTGCTCAGGAAAAGTAGCAGATTGCCCATAGGAGCCCCAGAAGGTTTCCAGCTGGCCCTGTGAGCTGCTGGAAGGGCCTGACCTTTGCTTATGCTCACTCAGTAGAAGGGAAGGGTCATGCTTGGGTGTGGGAAGCCTGTGGTCAGCACCAGCCGCCTCTAGGCCCACTGTACCAGAGTTCCTAGAGGTCCCCTCCTTTGATAAGGTTCAGGCACAGTACTAGTGACTGCTTGACATGACACCCTGAAACACAAACCCCTCCCCCTCCCCTGGCCCAGGACACTGATGAACAGCAGCCGTGGGGTTAGAGTCTACACTCTGGATCCATGAGACAAACCCTTTAGCGTGGTATAGACCGTTTTCATTACAGAGACGCCACCTGCAGTCCAGGAGAAGGGGGTATACTACTTCAGTGACAGGGCCAGGCCAGGCCTCGATCCTCTGTCATCTGTCAGAAACCACTTGGGTGTCTTGAGCGTCTGTCCCTGTCTGGTGACCTAGTGCAAACACAGCCTGGGTTCCCTGAAGCCAGCCACATTCGTGGGAAACCTGATCCTGCCATGTTCTCAGGGACCGGCACTTCCTTCTGGCCTCACACTCTCTCTTCATGGAAAAACCTCTGGTTATTTCCCATGAGCAGGTGCTGCCTGCCCCATGCAGACTGGCGACCTGTATGAAAGGGGTTGACTTCCCTCCAAAAACCATGGCTAGCTTCCAGGGAAATGGAAGTCACCAGGAGGGCTTCCTGTGACAGAAGGTGTTCCAGCCTGGGTCCTGTTCTCAGATGAATTAGAGAAGCTCTCTGGTCATCACCTCGTTGGAGCCCTTACAAAGTAAAGGCCTCTCATTGGAGTCCCTATAAAGTAAAAGCCCCCTCCCCCTGCCTCATTCCCTATGTAATCATCCTGCTGTGAGCTAGTCACTGTGTGGCTGTATATGTGAATCTCTGTATGTGTGTATGCGCCCATGTGTGTCCATGTGTCGTCTGTGTGTTTACAGGCTAAGGGACTACAACAGGAGCCTGTGACTTTCTCTTTGTAAGGCTGGGTCCTGAGGCTTCCCTGACTCTCACTCTGTTTGACAAAGCCTGTTGGAATTCTGCTTTTTCCACTTATATTATCCAGGGTTCTCTAGAGAAACAGAACTTATAGAATATATATATTCATACATCAGGATTTGTTAGATTGGCTATCAGCCTGTGATCCAGCTAGTCCAACAATAGCTGTGTGGTCTGGCAAGGGAACGTCCAAGAACCCAGTAGTTGTTCAGTCCACAAGGCCGGATGTCTCAGCTGGTCTTCAGTATACTCCAGATTCTGAAGAAGTAGTTTCTAATGCCAGTGAAGGAGTGGACTGACCCGTGAGAGTGAGGGCGGGCAGGCAACGAGAGAGTACCTTCCTTCTTCTGTGTCCCCTACATAACTGCCAGCAGAAGGTGTGGCCCACATTAGAGGTGGCTCTTCCCACCTCAAAGAACTGGATTAGAAGTGGGTCTTCCCACTTTAAATGCTTTCATTAAGAAAAAGGAGTCCCTCACAGATATGCCCAGCCACCTGGATTTTAATCTCAGATGTTGTCAAGGTCACAGCCAAGAATAGTCATCACGCTACTATAGAGGACTTTACCACAAGGACACTGCCATCTGTTGGCTTTTCTTATCACACCTAAAACCCACCATTCTTTGCTCAGAGGGTATAATTTAGGCCATCCCACTTCCCGTGTCTGTGGGGAAAGGCCTAACTCTGGGGCCATTTGCCTGGGAATTGGGAATGAGTGCTGGTGGGGCTCTATCCGGGTGGCATTTGACGCAAGTAACAGCAAGCCTGCCTCACAGTGGTTGAAACTGACCAGAGCTTATTTCCCAATGGAAGAAACAGACAGAGGGTGTCTTGAGAGGCGGGTGTGTGTGTGTGTGTGTGTGTGTGTGTGTGTGTGTGTGTGTGTGTGTCTGGTATTCTCTCCTCAGGGCTGCAGGTCCTTTCCGTGTCTCATTTCTATTGCGACTCCTCACCAGCCTCTTCCCTTGTCCCCCTGTCGACAGTCATACTGTTTTCACAGGGTTGTTGTGGGGACTGAGATGTCATGTAAGGTAATGTAGGTTGCTCATGTGTCTGTAGGAGTCTTGGTGGGTATACTTCTGTTGGCAGATGCTCTGTCGATGGTGTGATGCAGCCTGGTGATGGTCACAGTGGCCTGGATGTGACCTTTTAGTGACTTTGTGCATAGATAATGACTTGTTGGTGTGGAAGCGTACTACATACTGCTGCCCCAGTTAGGACAGATACATGGGTTTACATCCTATAGAATCTTGGGAGAATAATTTGGAAACCCAGCAACTCTCATTAGCTTACATCTCATCTAAGGGTGAACCGTTAGGATGAGCTGACCATACAGAATACATGCTTAAAAAAAAAAAAAAACCAGTCCTCCTCCGCTGCAGCAGAATTCTGGTCCCAGCACTGGGCTAGCCAAGGCAGCTGAGATCACCAGCTTTGCAGGACTCAATGCATAGTCTTCAGTGTTCCTCCACCCAGAGCTTGTCCTGGGCCAGCTCCTGCCAAGCTGAAGACACTCTGGGCCAGTGCTGGTGCCTAGGTGTGATGTGACTTGGAATCTTCAGTGACCAAATAACCTTTTGTGACCTTCTAAGGATCCAGGAGTTCCTGGCACACAGTTGTATTCCAGAGGAGGCCAAGAGAGGTCAGCTGGCACAAAACCTGGTGTCCCCATATGTCTATGCCAAGCCCACATCTGTGGCTCTCGACTGTGAGTCCTGTACTGGGGCCTCTGCTTTCATGGCCAATCATGGGCCCATTTCACTCACCATTCCTACTGCAGGAAAGGTCAAACCATCTCTTCACTGTCATTCTTCCCACAGACTTGAATTTAGGGTACACTGATGAAGACAGCATCTCAGCAGAGACACCTTCCCATCTACAATGGTGTCTTAGTTACCTTCATTCTGGTAGTGACATAAAGTAGCTTGAGGGAAGACAGGTTAAGTTTGGTTCACAATCTCAGAGGATTTCCATCCAGGGTGGCAAAGGTGACTGCTCTGTGCATGGCATGCTTGAACTTGAGGCAGCTTCTTTATGTGGAACGAGCCAGGAAGAGGAGAAAACTGGATCCAGGAGCAGATGTAGCCATCAAAGGCCCTAGTGACCACTTTCACCATCCACAACCTTCAAAAATCACACCACAAGCCAAATACTTAAAATGTGGGAGAGCCATGAGGGGTACTTTAGAGTCAAATCTAAGAAAGGTGCAGGATGGGAATGGTCCCAGTTCTTCTCAGGGATACTGTGTCATAGGAGCCACCACACTGCTGATCCCCCAGACCTTCTATCCTCCATCCTGTCAGGCCCAGATGCTTTCTCATCCTAATGTTTCCAGAAGTTCTTGCATGTCCTGACATCGCTGGCACAAATGTATGCTCACACATTTCTCCCCGCATCTCCCAGATGCTCCCCACTGCACTCCCAAGCGGGAGGCCCAGGGAGAGGCTGCCTTTTCAGGGCCCACTGAGGAGTGAATTTTTACTTTAGCTCTTTTGGAATCTCAGTTCTCATTTATTTTCCTGGATATTTTTGTTCCCTTTGGGGACAGAAACACAGCAGCATGTGGCATGAATTGAGATGGCTGCAGATGCACATTACTGGTGCACACTGCCCTCCTGGGCTTCCTGCAGCAGGAGCATACACAACATGGCCTCCTTTACTCCATCCCTTCACCAGTGAGGTCACTGCTCGGGCACAGGTGGGCAGAACTCAGCAAGAAGCCTTGGCGGCCTCTGCCTTTGGCGGTGGGGGTGAATGTTGCTTAGAGTCTCATGATGGTGGCAGAGACCTTCCCCAAAGTCCTGGCTGTATCACTGCAGGAACACAGTGAGGGAGCTTCCGAATGCAGTTGGAGGTGGGGCCACCCAGTACCCACTCTTCAAAACCAGGAGGGGGTTCACAAGGTTCACACAGTGGCCTCTGACCTGAAAATCATTGGCCTTGCTTCACGTCCAGCTTGACTGTTCCATTTCCCCTAGGTGGTTCACCAGTTCATTAGTTACCCATTTAGTTGGGGTTTTATGCTAAAGTATTACTGTGACCCAGAACTCTGGGTTCTGGGCATCTGACTGCTGAGCAAGTGGGGGTAGCATCCTAGGTGCCCCCTTCTTGTGCCTCCCTCTGACCAGCATCCCTGACCTTCATTAGCTACAGAGCGTGCTCCACACAGGGAACCCACAGAGAAACCTGGGGGAGAGTCCAGTACCTCTGCACTCCAGTGTCCCCCGCCTCCGTGCCTTGACATCGTATTTGAGAATCAGCCCTCCTCCTGGGCTTTGAAGGTGCTCCTGGCTCCCCTCTCCTGTTCCTCAGGCAAACCCTTTGACTAGGTCCATTTGGATGTGGGTTTCCATTTCTTGGTAGGTAGGCAATCTCTGACCCTTCCCTTTTGTGTTCTTCACAGCCTGCGATTGCCACCCTGTGGGTGCTGCCGGCAAGACCTGCAATCAAACCACTGGCCAGTGTCCCTGCAAGGACGGCGTGACAGGCATCACCTGCAACCGCTGTGCCAAAGGCTACCAGCAGAGCCGCTCCCCCATCGCCCCCTGCATCAGTATGTGTATCCCCACCTCCCCTCTGCTTGGGTGGGGGTGCCTGTGTGGGGTGATTGCCGATATCTGTGGGTTTAGCTATCACCAATGGGCATGTCTTCATTCACCTGTGCTCAGTGAGATCCTGTGAGAGACTCCAGGCCTGGGAGTTCCTTCAGAAGTGGCTATGTGCCTTAGAGCCAGCCTCTCCATAGCCCTCAGTACTCACAAACACTGAGTCACTGGCTCCAGGGGGGCAGCAAGATCAGCATGAGCCCCATTCTCACATTGCCCTTTGACCCCAGACCCTGTGAGGGATAGGGACATGCCACAGCTAGCTGCAGATTCACAAGACAGCACACCAAAAGCCTTGGGCCTTTGAGAAAAGTTACTCAGGCTCTTGTTCATGGCCCTGTGGTCCCTGTGAAGGATTAAGAGAGAACTGGAGTGGGGGGGGTGTCCCAGAGAGGCGTTCCATGGACGGTGGGTCAGCCTGGCTTCGGCTCTCAAGGGTCTCTGTATTTCACATCTGGTAGGTCATGCTGCTGTGACCATGGACAGAATGAGCTCTGGCTGGCAAGTGAAGCTTAACCCCGAGAGGCCCAGCTTCCTCTTGGTGATTCCTGGGCTAGGGCTGACCAAGCCAAGAAGGGATGGCTGGCACAGAGGAGCAGGAGAGTCTCAGCAAACATGCCAGAGCCCAGGGAACCAAATGGACTCTAGAGAGTGGGCTTGGCGAGCTCCACCCAGGGAGCTGGCCGCCGCCTGCTTTTGAATGGCACAGTGCCTCGAACCTTTTTAATGATTTAAACAAAAATCAAAGGAAGGATACTATTTCAAGACACAATAAAAACCATGCAAAGTCACTGGGTATGGTGGTGTGAGCTGGTAATCCCAGTACTTGGGGAGCAGAGGAGAGAATAGTGCAGGTTTGAGGCTAGCCTGGGCTGTAGTGAGACCCTGTTTTTAGAAAGATAAAAGGGAAATGAAAAAGACACACTTTCGTGGAACAGCATAGCTGCAGCAGATATAACCTACAGAGCCTGAAATACTACTGCTCGCCCCTTTCAGATGTCAGTCTGACTTCTGAGGTTCTTGGAGACCCCAGGGGACTCCCAGGACTGGTTAGTGATGGGGATTCAGAACAGCCGAGAGTCTGGGTGCTGATGCCTGGAATCTCTTCATGCTAGGAGTCACTACCAAGTCCTAAAGTGTTCCTCACAGAAGTTACAGTCATCATCCCTGCTGAAAGCAGGTGGGAGCATTCGACAGTCCACATGTCACTTATGTGTTCTAATCTGTCCCACTACAAGTGGCCTTTGCTTCCAGAGCAAGTCAGCTCTATTGGTTCCAATGGTAGTTATGACCAGTCTATGAATCAAGAGTTTCTTCCAGGGGTCCCTGCAGGTCCACTGACAGCAGATGACCCAGTACTCAAGGGACTGGATTGAGATGTCCTCCCAGGGTACAGGAGATGGAAAGGATGCTTAGGTTGACTGTCACTCAGTGGAAGGGAACATGCCTTGTACAGCCCAGGCCTTGGGTTCACCCCCAGAATTCAAAGGAAGGGATGGAAAGAAATCCTTCCAATCATGACATCCGAGCACCACTCTCATAATCCATAGAGACTTTTCCCAAAGCTATGAGACAGACATTTTTAGAAAGCCAAGTATATCTGGACCTCTGGAAACGCGTTCTGTCACTGCATAGTCACTTTTTTAAGGAGGGAGAGAAGCTGTTAGGTCATTCAGAATGGCAAGAACTATAATTTCAAATCCCCCAGAAAAGAGCATCATGAAATAATCATTGAGAACCAGCGCCTGCACCCTCCCTCATGCTCTATACTTTCTGACATGCTTTTGAAAGGGGAGGGCTCAAGCCCAGGGAACCACAGGCCTTGTGTGTACATCTCTGCTTTAGACACTGAGTTTGGGTGGCCAATGTGCCCCATGGCCATTGGTGTGAACCCCACTTTGTAGACCTGCAGTATTAGACCAGGCCATTTGGACGTTGTTTCCAGAGAGTTTTTGCTGGGACCAATCTAGCTTTGCAGGAATAAGAAAGGGCCTGGCGTACGTCCAGCTTCCTAATGAGCTGCTGTGACCAGACACCAAAGAAATGTGTGAATAAAGTCACTGAGAGTAAATCTGCCCCTTACTGTGGACTGTGTCTGCTGTCTTTACCTCCGAAAGGCACAAAGCATGGATCCTCTAGAAGACACCGACAGGTCTTAGGTCAAGCCTCGGGTCTCAGGTGTCTAGACTGCGAGGTCAGAGCAGACAGAAGGATCAAGGGTTGCTGACCAGTGGTTGTGTGCTCCTTCTAGCCCAGTGGTTCTCAACCTTCCTAATGCTATGACCCTTTAATGCAGTTCCTCATGTTGTGGTGACCTAACCCATAACATTATTCCATTGCTACTTCATAAATATATATTTGCTACTGTTATGAATCGTAATGTAGATATCTGATATGCAAATCCTGTGAAAGGATTGTTCATTCCTCAAAGGGGTCGAGACCCACAGGTTAAGAATCACTGTCCTAGAGGGACTTTCGGACCATGGTTCGGTCTCGTCTAGAAAGAGGAAGGTCAGACTTTTGACAGCTGGTGGCTGAATCAATGAAGTTGACTGGTTGAACGTCTTCACCTGTGGGAGCACAGGGATGGGTCCAGGAAGGAGAAGGGCTGAGCTGCTACTCCAGGTAGAAGGGAACGCTCAAAACAAAGGCCACACCTTTATGAGCCCTGCCTCCTGCAGTCACATCCCAGTCTACCCACTAATAGAAGCCTTAGCCAGTGTGCAGGTTGCCTGAGAGAACTAGAGTCAGACTGCAGATGCATCTGGGAGAGGTGTCCCCAAGGACTGGTCCCTGCCCCTCACACACCTTCACTGTTTCTAGATCCTTCCTCCCACCTGTGAGTTAACATTGTAGATGAACAAGACCCAGGCAGTCATATCATGATGAGCAGGAAGAAGAGGAGTAGGACTGAGATGAGCATGTATGGCAGGCCCTGGGTACAGCATCAGCCCTGTGGACCACCAGCCCCTCCTTAACAGATGGGATTCATCATTTCCCTGCTCAGTGAAGACAGGGGAACACACCAATGTGCCCAGGACCCCTGGGACCCTGCTGCCAGCTCCCCTTCTCTCCCTGACTTTTTGTTCCTTTGAGTTGAGCTGTAGAGTGGGCATGGGGAGACTAGAAGGTTGGGAGGGATCTATGCTGAGACCCTTTTCTTTCCAAGAACAAAAATAATGTCTTTTTTTTAACCTTGTTTTTCCTCCTCCCTTTTCTGAACACCATGAAGAGATTCCTGTAGCACCGCCCACCACCGCAGCCAGCAGTGTGGAGGAACCAGAAGGTGAGACATCCCTTTAGCTTTTGGTTGTTATAGTGATTGTGTGGTGGGACATGAGTAGGGACATGGGGTGGGGACTAGAGGCACAGACCCTTCTGTGTTCCACCCCTGTCACTTGGGCTCTGTTTTGTGTGAGCGGTCCCCTCAACTGCTCGAAGAAGGAACTGCTGGACACTTTGTCATAACTCTCCTCCTAAGAATAAAGTTAGAGGACGTTTTACCAGAGTCAAGGGCCAAGAACCCTGAAAGTGGAACTCTTCGTTTTGACCTTTGGAGGCTAAGAAGTTGCCAGAACCTCAGAAATACTGGAGCCAAGGACTCCTCTCTTTCCATGGGGTTGCAGGGGCCAGGCAGAGACTGAGAGGAAGGAGTACCTGGGCACAGGTTCATGGTCAGAATTCAGGAGCTCTGAGACCCAAGATGGGAAGGCAATCCCATTTTCACATCCACCTGTTACCTGAAGATGCAGCCTTTCCTTCATGACAACGGCAGGTCCCTGCCACAGCTGCCCGCAGTGTCTGTGACATGTTCACCATAGCAACCGTAGCTGTATTCACATTACAGACTTGATGCAGATGCCACGAGACACCATGTGTGTCCCTGGCTGCTTCACCATTACACGAGTTCCCAGTCCCATAGCCAGATGCTCATCTGCTGTCATTGAGAAAGCACACATATAACATGGCTGTACCATCAACTCGGGAGAGATCAGACAACTGGACTTCAGTAGTATTTTCCTATGTACAGATAGATGCTCCTCGACTTAGGATGTGGTGACTTCCTGATAAGATTACTGTAAGTGAAAAATACTGTAAAATGCAGTAAATATGATGCCCTGCCCTCAGCAGAGCATCCTCACCCAGCTGAGCAATGGACAAAGGGTGAGTGTTGCACCTGTCTCGGGGTGGGTGGGTACAGCTCCCTGAGGCTGCCCAGCATCACAAGAGAAGGAAAACCCCACCCCATTCAGTCAGCCCAAGGAAAGACACAAGTTGAAAGCATGGCTTTACTCAATGCATGCTGTTTTCACACTGTAGTAAATCAAGACTATTTTAGTGTCCAAAAAAAAAATCCTACTATGAGAAGGGGTTTACTGGGCTTCTTGGTGCAGGAGTGGTATCACATCCCAGGTTTGGGTACACAGGGAGCTTAGAGCCCCACAGGATGGTATGTATGCCTTGTGAGGTTGGTACAGGGCCACTCCTGGAGACCCTGGTCCTGGGGTAGGAGTGGTGTGAGTAGCAGATTGACACAAAGGCCCCTAGTATTCTGGGAACTTTGCTTCTCTAGGTGGCTCTGTAGGGAGCTGTGAGCTTGCACACTCAGGTGTTCACCTGAACCCCCTGGCAGGAGAAGGGTAATGACCAGGCCTGGGGACTCCCATCACAGGGTGCCTGCATGCTAGATGCCAGAGTGGAGGTGTAGAGGCTGGAATCTCCAGCATTGTCCCAATGGAGGCCAGGTCCAGAGGACAGAAGCTGATTATTTCCTATACTGGCATTTTAAAATTAAAGGTTGTTCTTCGTAGCTTCTTGAGAGGCTAACGCAGGAGGATCACTTGTGTTCACAAGTTTGAAGCCAAGATGGGTAACACAGTGAGAACCTGTCTCATGAAAACTACAAACACAAACAAAAAAAACTATTCTCTCTTGCCGAGGACATGGATTTTTTTAAACACAGTTTTGTTGTTGTTTTTAATTAAAAATTAAGTCAGAGGCTGAGGGTGTAGCTCAGTTGAGCACATGCTCAGCATGGAGGTTTCATCTCTGCCGTCAATTAACTAATTAAAACAATAAATAGGGGACAGTAGTTCAGTAGTTTTGAAGTAAGAAGATGTTAAAGTAGAACTTGAATTGTGTAGGTATATATGCATTTGTTATCACATGCCTGAGGCCCAAAGTTGGCTGCAGGCATCTTCCTCAATTGCTCTCCTCTATTTTTTGAGGCAGGGTCTCAGCCAGCTTGTCCTGAGCATCCCCCATCTCTACCTTCTGAGGGCTGGCATGACAGGCAGCTGCCATGCCTGCCCAGCTTGTACATGGTTTTTGAGTTTCTGAACTCTAAGGGCGTTATCTGTTGAGCCATTTCCTCAGCTCCAGAATTTCAAGTCTCTCTCTCTCTCCCTCTCTCTCTCTCTCTCTCTCTCTCTCTCTCTTCCTCCCTCCCTCCCTCTCTCCCTCCCTCCCTCCCTCCCTCCCTCTCTCTCTCTCTCTCTCTGTGTGTGTGTGTGTGTGTGTGTGTGTGTCTTTGTGTGGTTATGTGCAGGTGCACCCTGAGTCCAGAGCAGGGTATTAGACCCTTTGGTTGTGAACTGTCTGATGTGGGTGCTAGGCATTGAACTTGGGTCCTCTGGAAGGGCAGAAAATACTTTTAACCACTGAAGCATTTATTTCTTCAGCCCCCCAGACTTGACTGTTGATACATGGTGGTCATGTGACTAGTCAAAGATGGCAGCGATATACCTGAGTAGACAGACTCTCCTGGATGACTTTCAAACTGCCCAGGGCTGTGCAGGGGTAGGATACACAGCTCGCCCTAGGACAAGATAGACTTCAACGGTCGGATTGTCTCCTGGAGGTTTTTCTGGACCTTGCAACTTGACTGTGGGTTTCTTGTGATTATTTTTGACTTTTTACCTTCTGATAGAAATGGGCAGTTGAAGGGGTGAGGGGAGGTGGAGGCACTCCTGATATGTCTGTGTAGACTACAAGAAGCCCATGTGAAGCATCGGAAGGTTCTCGGCTTTAATGGGCAAGTCTAAAACAGGTGCGGTGCTGGGGAACCAAGCCTGAGGCTATGGGAATGCTCCACTTGGCTCCAGCTTCCTCTGAGGCACACCCACTCCTAAACTCTGGTAGTAGTCTGAGCAGTCTTTGGTTAGCTAATTACCTTTTCTGACTCCTTTGGATTCTGTGACTGTGGTTTCTTCGTTTAGAACCTTAGTGAATACGACCGAAAGTGAACCACTCTAGTGCTTTGCTCAAAGAGGGAGTAGGAAATCAGGTTTGGGGCTTGGAGCAGTGCCTGGGGCCTCACCCCAATCTTTGCAGCCTGCCCTGGTGGGCTCTGCACAGCAGGAGCCATTGCTGAGGCTCTGGGCCTGGCCTTTGGGATGTCCTATCACAGAGAGCCTAGCTGGCTAGCTGAGACATTGAGCTGGAGGCTGGGAGGCTCCCGTGGCAGCAAGAGAAACTCCTGCCCCGTGGCAGCTCTAGGCAGCTCTTGATCTGCAGCGGTTTGCTTTTATGGACACTTGGGTGAATGAGAGGAGCTCAGGTTTGACTGGCTCTGAGGCTATTGCTGCTATCAAAGCTTCTCCCCTCCCCTTGGAACAGGAAGAGGTGGAGCCTAGTGCTCCTACCCTGGTGCCCCTGGGCAGGAAGGACCCTTTGCTCCCTGCAGAAACACCTGCTCAGTCCTCCACTCCCCTGACAATCAGTTTCACCTGTACCCCTTCCTGAGGCACGAGAGCCACGATGGTAGACATGTCTCACCTTGGCTCATTTGTAGCATGTGTCGCTTTCCTTAGAGGACCATCCTGCCACGGTTAGTTTCAGAACACCCCATATGAATTCCTTGAGGGTTGAGTAGGAAAGAGACACGCAGGGCTGCATCAAGAGCCTGTGTGAGCCCACCTCACCCGACCTGGGATATGGACCTCCCTCCAGAGCCGGTGAAACCCATAACAAGAAAGGGTAGCCTTTGCTGGTCCCCCTCACTTCCAAGGCTCTTCTTCCTTGTGGATGCTAGACCTGGGTTAAGGTCCAGGAGTGAGGAGCTAGCCACCTCCTGGATTCCCCACCTCTCAACAGTGGTCTTGGGCTCTTCCCCAGCCTTGACTTTTTCATAGCTTCCCCATACAGAGTCCTTTGTGGGCGTTTCGCTATTGCCTCAGTGACCCTGGGGGGGAGCAGGAGTGTCTTTCTAGGGTGCCATGTAGCCTTTCAGGAGAGCCCAGAGAGAAGACTTTACAGCTGGTGTGCTGGGGGTTCTGCTTTCAGTGCCAACAGGTATGCATGGGGTGGAGGTGGGGGCTCTCCAGCCTTCTGCTAAAGAATGAGTTCATAGAGATTTGCAGTGTGGGCTAGCCTGGGCTTCCAGATCCCCAGAGCCCTGCTGATCAGAACTTGCCATTTCTTTCTCTGTGTAACTTACTAATGAGAGTCCTGTGTGTGAGGGGCTGTGGTGGGGTTCTAATACAAGCACAGGTGATTCAGGGGTGGATGCCCCCAACAGGAATTAATAAAACCACAAGAACAGCTGGGCTTGGAGGCACAGGCCTACAATCCTGGTACTTGGGAGCCTGAGGCAGGAGGATCACAAATTCAAGACTCACCTGGTCTGTCTGTAAAGCAATCTTGAACAAATTAGCGAGACCCCTATCTCAAGGTTTAAAAAGAATGAAAGGAAGGCCGAGCATAAAGTGCAGTGGTAGGATGCTTGCTTGGTACACACAAGGTCCCGAGTTCCCGTGTTGTGGTTGAGGTGAAGTGCCCAGCTTCTGTCTGCTCCTCTGTCCAGGATGGTAGGAATGGGACAAAACACACATCGTTTTTGTAATACTGAAGCAAAATTTTAATTAGAATAGCAACAGAATGCTAAGCAAAAATGAGTGAAGCAATGAAAGTATGTGATGAATGTTTTGTTTTGTTTTAATCCTCAAAACTGAGTAGACACCGAAGAACAAGAAGAAATGGAAGCTCATGCCGTGTTAGGGAGAGCAAGACTCGAACTGTCAAAATGCCGATTCTCCCAGAAGTGACCCATAGATTTAGCACAATTCTGGGCAATGTCTCCATTAGATGGGGCAGGATCCTAAAGTTCAGCCAGAAAAATCTGTGTAGTAAGAAGAGCCATGATTTTTTTAAACTGCTGTTTTCTTTTATTGAGTTATACATATTTCTCTACTCCCTTTCCTTTCTCCCCTCTCCTTTTCCACCTCAAGACTTTTTAAAAGGTGACTAATGAGGGTAATTAGCTCTACTGGATATTTAAAAATATTG